CCCCCTGCTGTCAATCACAGCCAGTGAGCCAATGAGAAGAGAGAGGGGCTCCACGGCTCCATCTGAGAATGTACAGATGGAGCAGCGGGTGCCCCCATAGCAAGCTGCTACCTGTGGGGGCACCCAAAAGGAAGGAAGGGCCATGAGAGCCTGCGGGGGACCTGAGAAGAGAAGGATCCGGGCTGCTCTGTGCAAAACCACTGCACAGAGCAGATACGTATAACATGTTTGTTATTTTTTCTTAAAAAAAAAAATAAACCTTTAGAATCACTTTTAAACATAAAATGAATGCAACCATCATATCTAAGAATAGGTAAGTTTCAATATAATAAATGTTTGCTTTTGGGTTTAATACTGCTTTAAATCTTCTAGTCCATCTAACACTCCCCTTCCCCGGAATAACAATGCTTCTGTCAAAAGGTGCCCCCTGTGCTGCTTCATCCAGAATGGAGGCACTCTAATACAGGAGGTGTGTTACTGGCCACATCACCAGGTGAAAACATTGAAAAAAGCCTAAAAAAGAAAATGAATACAGCCACAACATTTAATTATTGGTAAGCTGCAATATATTACATTTTTGGTTTGGAGTTTAATGTTACTTTAAAATAGTATTAAACAATCACAGCAGAATTCATTTGTCCCTTTAGATCCACCAAACCAAGTTTAACTTTGCTGTATGTTTCATGGGTTCATCTCCCAACACTCATTTCCCAATGTTTCATAATCACTTTGCTCTCTTTGTTTAAGCACCAGTTCCAAGTTTTGACGGAGGATGGTGCACTGTTAACTTCACATGGCCGGGTCATATGGTGGGCACCTTGTTGTGGTAGAGGTCACTGAACTGTTATGGTAGCCACTGTCACTCAAGTCCTTGGAGAATGAGGGGGCTTGGGATGTAGAACATTAGTGCTGCCTGTGTGTGTCAGCCCTTTTGGCCGCCTTCCGCCCAACATGCCTTGGCTGAAAAAAATGGAAGGCGTCAGAAGGAAAGTTTCTGGCTGTAGTGGCAGCATCCAACTAAATGCAGCTGCTTAACAGATTTTGACAATGGGTGGGGTCAGCTGTCAAAATAAAATTGCCCGGCAGGGGAATTCATCCATCTATGCAGTATATCATAGATGGGGGAATCAGTCAGATAATCTATAGGTGTATGGCCGGCTATACTTTATAATAAGATCAATGATAGCTACTGCATGTCACAGTTGACACTGCCAAGTGCCACAGACAGAGGTAACTGGGAGGCCCCATAAATACTTTTATATGGGGCCCCATGATCTATACTTACACCTCTGCCAGTGACAATGGTCACCAGGACAAATAGAAAGGATACATTTCCCTAGTGAGGACACAGGCAGCAATAAAAACCTGACAGAGGATCTAGCTTTTTACCAGCCTATGCAAAACTAAATAGAAGTGTTGGTTTAGGTACACTTTGAAAAAAAATGAATTCACTGTATTTTAACTAAAAACGTATTGGGAGTCAAAAACTGCAATCATTCTTTTAAAAGCTGAGATCAGATGAAGATCCTTCTACAGTATTTACAATAAATAGAGATGTAAGTGTTGGCGATTGTTTATGCTGAATTTAAAACCATCTTAAATCTAAGAGAATCTTGGAGGATAAGATATATTTTGTATCTTTGTGACATCCTGTACGAAAGTGAAGCATAACTGTGAACACGCCCACGCTTTGTGGTCATGGGAGTGCAGCCTACGCACCTTCTCTGCTCTGTAGTTTGTTTGCTTGGCTACATAACCGTGTTTATTCAGTTTAACTAAATTAAAAAACACAGTAATGACAACTGTTGTTATTTCTGGGCCTAATTAAGGCATCGGATTCAATTATACTTGAATTTTTCACAGCCATCAGATATGTAACATTGTATATTATACTGTATGATAACATAAATGTAAAACACCAATATAAATGGGAATCAGTGAAGAAGGAAAGAGTGCTTGGATGTGAAACCGCTTACTGAATGGACCCCCACCACCCCCTGGAGTCTGTTATTGCCCAAACTTAAGTTATAATGTATTATAAAAATCACTATGGGGGTGCTTATTATAAATAATTTCTACAGTGTCCAGGCACACAGCGGTGCTGAGAGTTCTGTTTAATTTATACTGTAGAATCAGAGGTTTGAAGTGATTCTAAAGAAAAGATTAACTGCTTCCCCTCAGCCCTATAGCAGAAAACACTGGGGTGCACAAAATCACATATATATACGTGACTTTGCATTTACGGGTAGGGGGTACACACGAGCCGCATGCGCGGCCTACCCACACCGCTATTCACAGCCTCGGCTGTCAATCACTGGGTCCCGGCCAATGGTTACTAGCCAGAACCCGGTGATTGCCGAGTATTACCAACGGGGGAGAGACCTGTGTATAAACAACACAGATTTCACCCCTGTCAGCTCCTACACACTGCTTTGTATGGCTCTGCATAGCATTGAAGCACACACATAGCACATAATATGAAACAGCACACAGTTAACCTTTGGATCGCCCCAGATGTTAACCCCTGTATGCCTAGTGCCATTAGTACAGTGTCAGTGCTTTTTATCAGCACAGATCACTGTATTGGTGTCACTGGGGATGTCAGTGACACCAAGTCAATTCACCCCAGTGTCAGAATGCCCGCCACAGTCCCGCTATAAGTCACTGATTGCCGCCATTACTAGTAAAGAAATAAAAACTCCAGTATATATACCGCCATTTGTAAACGCTATAACTTTCATGTAAACCAATTAATTTACACGTATTGTGATTTTTTTTTTTTAGCATTCACATGGAGCAGAATACATTTTGGCCTAAATTTATGACGAAATTTGATTTTGTACATTTTTTTACTGGACATGTTTAATAGCAAAAAGTCAAAAATATTTTTTTTCTCAAAATTGTCTTATTTTTTTTTTTGATTTATAGCGCACAAAAAAAACGCACAGGCGATCAACTACCACCGAAATAAACTCTATTTGTGAGAAAAAAAAGGACGTACATTTCATTTGGGTGCAGTGTTGCATGACCGTGCAATTGTCAGTTGAAATATCGCAAAAAATGGCCTGGACAGGAAGGGGGGTAATTCCTCTGGAGGGCAAGTGGTTAAAAAAAAATAACAAACATGTCATACTTACCTGCTCTGTGCAATGGTTTTGCAAAAAGCAGCCCCAATCCTCTTCTTTTGGGTCCCCCGCTGGTGGTCCTGGCTCCACCTCTATGCTGAGTTGGCTCTCGTGCACATTGCTGGATCGTTTAAGGGGGGCTGGGGTAAGGGGCGAGCCGCACCCTGAAGGTTTTTTACCTGAATGCATAAAATGCATTCAAGTAAAAAACCTTTAGAACCACTTTAACCCCTTCAAGTCTGGACACTTTCACCCCCTTCCAGTCCAAGCTTTCAGCATTGTCGTACTCTGAATGACAGTTGCATGGTCATGCAACACTGTAGCTTTCTTTTGGGGGTATTTGATCACCACTGGGTTTTTCATTTTTTTGATATATATATATGCAAATATGTTGGAAAAAAACTATATTTGCTTAGTTTTTGTTATAAACTTTTGTAAAGAAATAACCTTTCTTCAAAAATTTAAGCCAAAATGTATTCTGCTACATTTTTGGGGTAAAATAACCCAAAACAGTGTATATTATTTAGTATGTGTGAAAGCTATAGTCTACATACTATGGGATTTATAACTGAAAGTTGATCAGTTGAGACACTAAAATGCTGGGCATTGGTATTACATATGCGAGTGACCAGGACATTGGTATGACGTATGGCAGTGACCAGAACGTTGGTATGAGGTATGGCAGTGTTCAAGATGTTGGCTTGAGGTAGGGTGGTGATCAAGGCGCTGGTATGGGGTATGGCAATAATCTGGACACTGGTGTGGTGGTGATTGGGGCGTTGATACTGTGTGTGGCGGTGATCCGGACACTGGTATGACATATGGGGTGGTCAGAATGCTGGTACTGGGTATGGCAGTGATCAGGACACTGGTATGGGGTATTGGGGTGCTCAGAAAAGCTGGTATGGGGTATGGAGGTGATCAGGATGCTGGTGTGGTAGTGTTAAGAATGCTGGTATGGGATTTGATGGTGATCAGACGGCTGCTATGGGTTATGGTGGTAATAAGGATGCTGGTATGGGGTATTGGGGTGATCAGGATGTTGGTATTGTATATGGGGTGATCAGAAAAGCTGGTATGGGGTATGGAGGTGATCAGGATGCTGGTATAGGGTATGGCGGTGATCCATGTGACACGCAGATCACCGGGCTCCCAGATGCGAGCTCTGTTAGCCACACAGGTGTTTATATTTACTAAAATAATTGCATTTCCATGTTGTGTGTACTGTGGGAGACCAGATATAGTGAATGCAGGGTCCTGGGTTTAGCAATACTTTAATGGTGAGTCATATTTTTCTTTAACCTTTTTAGTTGTCATTGTTTAGCCTGGCCCATTTCAGGACTTGAGAAGTGACAGGCTGCACACTAACATTACCATTAGTTTGCTAAAAACTATGGGGTTGATTTATTAAAGGCAACTAGGCTGTTCACTTTGCAAGTGAAGTTGCATTTTGCAGGGGAATTTGCCCCAGAGCTTAGTGAATGTAGTGAAATTTCTCTTTCCAAAGAATACACAATCACAAGCAAGGACAAAGAAAAAACAACATTTTACTTGCACACGATTGAGTGATAAAGGTCAGCAGAGTGTCACCTTCTTCCTTAAACACTTCCCGTCCGGCCCATGTACATAAACGGCTGGATGGGAGCAGCGCAGGAGCGGGTTGCCGTTCATAAATGATGCCCACATTTTCAAGCTGCGTGCGCTCCCTGGATGCGCTCTGTGTGAGGTCCCGATCATGTGATCACTGATTGGCCAATCAGTGATCACATGAGTAATCGTAAGCAAGATGTGACATCATTGCTTACTACTAGTGAAATCTGTGAATGATCACAGAGATCACATGGTACAAGGGTATTCACAACAGACTTGTACCATGTGACAAGCTGTGACCAATCGCAGCTCTCACAGTATTTCTCAGTGGCTGCAAGAATGCAGCCAGAGAGAACAAGAAATGATTGCTTTTAGAGCCTTTATGGGTCAGTGTAAAAAAAAAAAGAAAGAATCTTCATCACCCTCCACAAGTAGTACAGTGTCACTATGATGACACTGTACTGCTAGGGTGACAGCATGTTAAAAAAAAAAACATAAATAATAACATAAAAAAAAAAAAAAATACATTTTATGAAAAATTATCATTTTTGGTTATAAACTAATTTGGGTTATTTTTTCTTTTTACCAAAAAAAAAAACGAATACATTTTGTCCAAGATTTACGAAGAAACATTATTTATTTGCAAAACGTTGTAAGAAAAACACCTTTTTTCAAAGTATTTGGACTTTTTCATTTATATAGAAAACAAATCCCAGTGGTGAATAAATACCACCAAAATAAAGTTTTGTCTGTCTCAAAAAAATGCAAAAAAAATTCATATGGGTACAATGTTGCCGCGCAATTGTCATTCAAAGTCTGATAGCACTGAAAGCTGAAAATTGGCGTGGGCAGGAAGGGGGTACTGGTTAAGCTCTGGAAAAAAATACCCAGCAAAGTGCAACTTCCTCTACAAAATGAACATTCTATTTGCATTCTATTTTAGTAAATCAAATACTGTGTATCGTAAACAAGTGACATTTTTTAATACTTGTTTTATCTTTTTTCACCTTTGTTGCATATCAGAAATGATGATCTGTTACAGCCTCTTTTACAACCACTTTCTGTCTGTATGAATGTACTCCAACAACTGTTGCACATTTTTTCTCAGGGAAAGTTTAATGATGGTAACAACAATGGACAGTGTGTGTACATAGTGGGGGAGATTTACTAAAACTGGTGCAGCTGTGCATAGAAACCAATCAGCTTCCAGGTTTTATTATCAAAGCTTAATTGAACAAGCTGAAGTTAGAAGCTGATTGGCTACCATGCACAGCTGCACCAAACTTTTGTGCACCAGTTTTTGTACATCTCCTCCAGTGTGTCAGCATGGCCACTTGTAGTCATATGTGACAGGGTAGGAGCATATTGGGAGACAGGGACAGAACTATTATCCCTGTCACAGCAAGTGCCTTCAAAATGCCTTCATAGCAAGATTATTGAGTGTTTTATTTTCTCAGAATGCGGAGAAATTTAGGAGATTTCTGCAAAATGTCACTATTTTTGCAAAATGTGGTGGAGTCTATGGGAAAGGAAAAATTAAGGTGCTTTTTTAGTGTTTATGATGGGGGCAATGGGTTTTAAATAGCACCTGTGGGTTGTGAAATGTCCATTAAACTAGGCTGGACCTGTTTTTTGCCACAACACAGAACCCCTCATTAGCGTTATTATTTGTAAATGTGTTTTTTTTTTCACAGAAAAAAAACACAGATAATAAAATTAGGCAAAAAAAGACACTACATAAATAACAATCAAATACAAAGGAAAAAGGCACATATACAAAGAAGACTGAATAAAGTAAACTCAACTTCTCTAAATACATCCTTCTGTTAAATATTCCCTCTAAATAAAGAAAAAAAACACAGATTATTCTTTTTAAGTAAATTTTGCCTAAGCAAGTTATGAGGAGTGATCTCAGAAGTTTGCCACAAAATGAGTTTTGCCAAAATCACTCCACTCACCCCTATTTCCAAGTCTTGATTTTTGTTTTACTTCAGTTTTCTACTGTGGATGATCATTTTTGATACATTATTATTGTTGGTGGTGGTGGTGATGGTGGTGTTGTAGGTTGTTTCAACATTACAAATTTGCCAAAATCACTCCCCTCACCCCTATTTTCAAGTCCTGATTTATTTTTATTTAATTTTTGTACTTTGGAAGATAAGTTTAGATTTTTTATTATTGTTATTATTATTGGTGGTGGTTGTGGTGTTGTTGGTTGTCTCAAGATTACAGATTTGCCAAAATCATCCCCCTCACCCCTATTTCTAAGTCTTGATTTTTATTTCTACTTCAGTTTTGGACTTTGGAAGATAATTTTTAGATACTTTGTAATTAATATTATTTTTTTGTTGTTGGTGGTGATGGTGGTAGTGGTGATGGTAGTGTTGTTGGTTGTCTCAACATTATAAATTTGACAAAATCACTACCTTCGCTCCTATTTCCAAGTCTTTATTTTTTTTAACTTCAGTTTTGGACTTTGGAAGATAATTTTAGATACATTATTATTATTATCAGTGGTGGTAGTGATAGTGGTAGTGGTGTTCTTTTGGTTGTCTCAACATTTCAAATTTGCCAAAATCACTCCCCTCACCCTTATCTCCAAGTCTTGATTTTTTTACTTTAGTTTTGTACTTTGGAAGATAACTTTTAGATATATTATTATTAGTAGTAGTAGTAGTGGTGCGGTGGCTATGGTGTTGTTGGTTGTCTCAACATTACAAATTTGACAAAATCAATCCCCCCACCTCTATTTCCAAGTTTTTTTTTTACTTCATTATTTTTCTTGGTAGATAATTTTTAAATACATGTTTATTATGATGATTATTTTTATTGTTGGTGGTGGTGTTGTGATGTTGTTGATGGTTGTCTCAACATTGAAACATACATTTTAACAGATATCGCTGAACATCACATGTTAACACATATCTCTCAACGTTACATTTAAGTTGGTATTAGGTACACAGAATGTTGATACTCATATAGTAAGAATCAGTCATTCAAATATAGTCACCATGAATGACCTCAGATTAGTGTAAATTATATAAAACCTACATAAAATCTATAAATAAGTCAAGGAGATTGCTGATAATATGCCTAGACCTTATTATACCGTATGCGATCACCTTTCACAGGCTTTTATGTATTTCTTCAGAGCTGGGCGTATTGATGTAGCACTTTTCAAAACTGTCCATGCATGTTCAGTTTTTTTCATGTCATATATTAGGTTATGTTTTTCATCAAACACTATGAAACTGGTCTAGATTCTCAAACAAACAAAGTCTGTGTTAAAAGGTTAACAAAATTGGCTACAGTGATAAGTTTATCTCTGATCACTAGTGAGTCATTCTGAAAGTACTCCTACAAGCATTGACCTTTTATATGTAGCCCACGCTAAAGTAAAGAACGTGCATATATACTGCTGTTATAGTTACTTGTAAAGAGTAAAACCCTTTTCGCTTCATTTACCTCAATAATATTTTGACAACTTGACACACTATCCACAGAATTTGATAAAATATCTAAAATCAACCAGTTTGGATACGGGAGCATCAGAGAGTCATTACCGAATTGTTGCTACATGCTGATTGACAGATTAATCTGTTAGCTACAACAGTAAGCCCAGTGAGTGTAGGAAATGGTAGGAGAACTTGACTTGCACGAATTTACTGGCAGGATTTATGGTCTGTTAAGACCACTTTAACACTTTGCTTTTTTAAGGCTGTAAGTTTATATAAACAAAGTTTTTATTTTTTTATTAGGAAAAGTGCAACAGTATTACATATACAAGACAAAATATAAGAATATTAAAAGAGGTCTCATCTTTACATTGAAATAAATGTAAAAGAATCATTTTACCATATTTAAAAATGTTCACGTTTCTAACAGAGGATAAGCTCAATTTACAAAGCTGAAACAAACCAAAGTGTCAGTTATTTTCAGCCGAATTCAATAAGATTTGAAAATTAGTCACATGGCTTAACATAAAGATCCTTCTCCCCGTGTAAAGCTTCGTAAACTTGAACTCAAAGCTGAAATAAACCAAAAAAATAAACAGAAATGCATAATGGGTCCAATTAAATAACAGCACCACATCCCTTAAAAATATTGAAACAAGCCAAAAGAAGAGTAAATGGAATTTATATGGTGCTGAAACTTTCTCTCAGAAGAAGCTCAGAGACCTATATCTCTAAAACAAAAAAAGTTTTTTTACAAAATTACATTAAAATATTTTGGGGTATAGCCACCTAAAAAAGACCATTGGTCATAGATAAAGCAAGCCATAATCATCTTAGCAACCCCCCCAAGTCTTGTTCCCCCATACATCAACCAATGTGGATGACAACAGCATATAGCATCAAAATTTAGCTGAACAAAAATCTAATCATTAAGGGGGTGGCGAAACTGGCGCATTTCGCAGTCTTAGCATCTGCAGGGGTTCAAGGGACGCAATTGAATGTGGCTGAAATTTCCTTGCAAAGAACAACCCCCAAGGGGTATAACTTGATCTGGTGACAGCCCCACAGCATACGGCTGCAAAGGTGGAAGGCAAAAGATGGAAAAATTTAGAAACAACACCCAGATGTCTGGCCAGGGAACCAAGCAGACAATGCACAAAGAGGAGACAATGCACATCAATCCTAGGTAACTATAATCCTGAATATGGAGGGGCGTCCAAGAAAGATAAACACTGTTAAGCAGCCAATAGCTCCTCAAACATTTCTAACACCTTTAAACACACTGTGGGGGATTGTTGTGCCCTTCAAACACCAGCAAGGGAATATTCAGTTGCAACCCTTCAATCCCTGAAGAAGCTAAGATTGCTAAACGCATCAGTTATAGACACCCCCTTCATGATTATATGTTTGTTCAGCTAAAACCTGATGCTATATGCTGTTGTCATCCACATTGATTGATGTATGGGGTGATGTGCCTTGAGGGGTTGCTAAGCTGATCATGGCTTGCTTTAACTATGACCAATGTTTTTTTTAGTGGACTATACCCCAAAATATTTTAATGTAATTTTGTAATAAAACATTTTTGTTTTAGGAATATGCGTCTTTGAGTTTCTTCTGAGGTAAGGTTTCAGCACCGTTTCAAATCCCATTTACATTTTCTTCTGGCTTGTTTCAATAAACCAAAAAACATAAAAAAATGTAATATATTGCAGCTTACCAATCCTTACCTGTGGTGGCTGTTTTTAGTAATTTTTTTCCTGAATTTTTATCAGTTGATGTGGTCAGGAACACACTTCTTGTCTCAGCATCTCAGGGTGTCTCCATTCCACTGGAGAAGTACCAGAGACATCTTCAGACAGCAGCACTGCCAATCTGGGGAGAGGGTAATGTTAGATGTACGCAAATTTGGATGGACTTGAGTAATAGTTTAAAGCTAAACTCCAACACGTTTTCACAT